GGATTTGAATAAACTCATTATAAAAGGAAAAAATGGGGGTGAGCAAGCATGGTGAACCACCCTGTTTATATCATATAGTCTATTTCTACTATATTACGTTAACCAATAATTTTGGTTATTTAATTTTAAAATAATCAGCATTTTAGCTGTACAGCATTTATTATATGGTCGTTAATCATAATGGTACATAATGTATGAAACTTCCGAATTACCTATATTTAATTACTTATAAGTGGGTGTGTGCGTGTTGTATAGGTTCGATAGTCGAGAAAATATTATCTATTTTCATCAAGTTGTAAGTTGTATAACTTATAAGATATGATGTAATATAATATAATCATACAATATATTATATTAATGAATTATGTTTTAAGATCATGTCAGCAGGGAAAGAGTTTACCGAACATTACACGATAGAGACACAGGTTGAGAAACGTCAAAGAGATTTGGCAAATATTGGTCCGTCGTTAAGTTCATGTTTATTTATTTTAAGAGAAAAATACTGTAACTTCCAAGGTTTGTTAACTCAGATAAAATATATTTACAAATATTATTACATTATTTAAATAGTATGCACACGTTTTATTATGTATAAAGGTGCCATACAGAGAACACAAAATGGTTATATAAAAATAATAAAATAAGAATAAATATTTTAACGAAGTATTATATAGTAATAATATTATAATATAAGAAATAAGTCTAATTTATAAATGTTAATAAAATATTTCGTAAACAGCTGAATAGCATGAATGCATCGTCCTAACAAAGTGGAAATCAGAATTTCGATTGCAGCCCGATTCTAAATGGTAGTAGCTTCGTAGATAACTAATATGTGACCACTGTTATTTATTTTAGAATTTGTAACTTTTATCGTTTAACGTTTATCCTGAAAACACAATTTTAAATGAGGTTGTTACAGCAGCGTCGATATCTGGCACCCACTAACTTGGAAAATCATGTCATCCTACCACTTACATTTCAAATTTGAGTTATCAGAAAAAAGGCTAAGTTACAAATTCTAAAATTGTGGTTAAAATGGTCATAACTCAGTTTAAAAAAAATATGATTGGTTCACAATAAAAAATTTGATTTATGATTCCAAGATAATTAGTGTTAACTCACATTATAATAAGTATCCATTTTTTTCAAAACCTTACACATATTAGAACAGAAGTTTGATATATTAAAACTGAATAAAAAAATTGAATAATCATTGATTTTCAAAAAATAAACATGTTAGTTAAGTGTTATAAATTATAAGTTATAACAGTTTGAATGGGATTTTCTTTCGAAGTGTTCAGAATTTGGAGTTAGGTTCGTCAATTGTATCTAGTAAACATTTAAATTAAGGTACTATAATCAGATGATGATGAAACCAAAATCTAACATAACAATTTATAGTTAAAATGAAACATTTTTAAATTTTTCACAAATATATTTAAAAAAATATTGTGAATCAATTATAAAGCCTTAAAAATATAAAAATAATGTTGTAAAAGTTAAATAAAAATAGTTAAGTAAAATTAATTTTGGTTGAATAAACACTATCAGATCTAGAATAAAATATAAATGCTTTTTTAATTGAATTAGAAAATTATATGCAGTCATAAATCAATGTATACAGCAGTGAAGATTTAATAGGTATATTGTTTGTGATATTTAATATTTACATATATTAACTTTAAACTTGGACAAAGGAAAAATAGTGGAATTAAATTAGCATTTATGTCTACATTAATTGTTGATTGTGTAGATAAATGTATCCCATTATCATATAATTAGATAGATGGATCAATATTTTCTGTGTTAAATACATTTATTGAAGACAAATTTCCCAATACATTTGAAGTGGTGTTCTGTTGTATAAGTTAGTTAATTAAGTGAAATATTAATATGCTCTACTAAAAATATTATAAAAACATATAAATATAATTTAAAATGTACTGGACAGACTGTATAGCCACACAAATATTATATGGACATTCGTGTGAGTATAGACAAATAAATTGAATTAATAGTAATATTATTACCACTGATGAATACCTGCAACAAACTCAAATATGTAATTGCGATCAAACAGTCAACAAATTAAAAATAAATAATGATTTGCAAAATAAATCATTTACTGATTTATATGCTGCAGTATTTTATAGGTGCACAATCTAAAGCGAGTAAACATGTTTACAAATGCATGTTGGTGTAAATATATTTTAAAAAAATGTCCAAGTAATTAAACTGTTGAATTAACAAAATAAACAAATGACATTTAAAGGTTTGATTTTATTCAATGAAACACCAGAGTTGTTTAAATAAATTTAAATATTTTAAAATATTAATCAAAACCATATTTGTTATAAAATTAATTTTCTACACAAACATTGGATTTAATAAATGAATTAAAAACTTTTTATAAAACTTTATAAAAGTAGAACAATAAGATACTCTTGTAGTTATATAGTATTTAATTTTGTTATAAGTATGCATTTTAAATGATTTGAGGTGTGTTTAAAGAAGTATAAGCTATTAAAAAATGTGTTTTACGATAACTGTTGATCAATAACATAATAAATTATCAACATATTATCAACCAAATAAATAACTTAAATTGCATCAACAAATATTCGTCCAAAAATATCATTAATATGAATAGATACATAAAGCTTTAAAACTATCCAAATTTTAAAATATATTTTATACATTTATATTAAAGAACAAAATGTATAGTCTACTTCTCTACTATACTAATATTAAACCTAATTTAAATAATTCATTTAAGAGGGTACCTATACGTATTAGTTATTAATTAACTGCTACATTTACTGCATCAGGTCATACAACTGAAATTATTCTAAATTATATTATTTTATGATATTTATTTCAAATCACCGACTTTATGTAGGTATTTAAAGAATAATAAATCTTAATTGTTATATTTTATAATTATAAATAATGTTTAGTATAATAGTGAAATATATTCAATTAAACCACTGTGAAAATATCCAAGATATGATAACAAATTAAACGATATACCTACATATATTATTATTATATTAGTACATTTTAAATATTTTAGTTCAAATTCTGAAATCGTGGTCCTCCGAACAAACTTATTCAGTAAGGAACATCATCTTCTTGAAAAATAAATAAACTAATGAATAAAAAAATGAAAATTAACTTACAAATCTTACAATAGTTATTGGGAGATCTAATTGATACTTTGAATATGAGATACGACGAAGGAAAATTATAAGTTATAACCAGATTAATATTTTTAATACTTCAAGAATATATTGTAAAATTATCATATATATATATATGTATAGGTAGGTATATAAATGTAACTTTGTTATTATAATTGTACTTATCTAAAATAAAAGTTCTTTGAATGTAACTGAATAAAATACAAAAGTAATTTTATTTTCCATGATTCAGTTAGTCATTTCAACAATAATTATACTATTAGGTAGGTACTAACCTTTTGTATCGTAATTTATTAAATCTTTATACTTTGTGCATAAAGTAATAACTATATAGAACATGTTAAAAGCAGTCGATTGGTTAAAATTATTACTTTAAAAGCGATGCAGGTACAAGGGAAGTAATGGTTGAATAGCTTTCATTAGAGTTCTAAAAAAAATGTAATTTAGCGTAAAACACTCAATGATGTCACTATTAATTTAATGGTATTAAATATTAACTTATAATTTATTTATGTTTGGCAGATATTATATCATGTATATACTACCTGTGTAATTTATTTTTATATAAAGTACGAATAATTATTAAAACTTATACTGCACACTTTACTCTGAATGACGAGTAATCTTTTGATTAGGCTAGCACATATTATTAGAAACGTTTATTGTACCTTTAATGTTTGAAATAGTAAATACCCTTCCAACGATAATCAAAAAACTGTTATTGCGTCACTGATTATTAGTGATTATTTTTAAGTATTGATCATTATTAACATAAGGCTCTTGTTGTATTTTACTTTTTAATAGGTTTGTAGAAAGTAACTATTTATCTTACTCAATTCCTAAGACGATAATTATGATTAGATATATTTTTCGAAGAATAATACACTATAATATTATGTCTTTATCTACGGTTTATTCTCAAATTATTATATAAATGCAGATGCCCTTTATAGTTTATAGGTACCATAAGAGACCATGAAATATATGTCTTTGAATTATATATTTATTAAAGTAGCATGTAAAACAGTTTGTAATATTTTAACTTACACAATTAATGACAATTCCCTTTTTTACTCGAGAAATAAAAATAAAATGAATTTCAAATTTTGAATTTTGAATTTTGAACCTAAATAGATGGTATTATAATACATTACAATAGTACTTCGAAATTACAATAAACTTAAAATGTACATAATTAAGTTCAATTACCTAATTAGTTACCGTAAATTACTTTTAAATAATATAATTAAAATAGGAGATGCATAAAATGAATTGTATACACACACTTTGTTAGATATGTAAAGGAATGTCAAACAACAATTTAATTGGGATTTTACGTAAAATACAACACTGTACCTACGTTTGTGACATTAACAACGTTTTCTTAATGAATACTTAACAAATGTATCTACCAATTAATTTAACTTCAGAAATATAATTAAAAAGCATACACATAATTAAAGCACGTACACTATAATAATAGGTTCTTGGATATTATATAATTCCAATTTATTTAATTTTTAATTCAATTTGAGCAAAACTGCACGTTTTATATTTCATTCGTAAGTATAATTAGTTATTACTTATTGCTCTCTGTGTACTTGCTATATTTACGAGTTTTAACTGACTGCTATCAATTTTTGCTGAATGTATGGAGAAGATCTTACGGATAGCCCCGAGGGCCAAAAAACCTTGAAAATATCCGGGACTGGTAATATCACTTAGACTTGGATATAAATTATCCATAATAATCATTATTATACATGAACGGTTCCCTACCTCGTTTGAAATCGCCTATATGACTATAATCACTTTATTATATATAAAAGACCGAAAGTCACACTAAAGTTAGTAGTTACAGTTTACGATCAGTCTGGACATCAGCATAACTGCGCGAAAAAATTATCATCATGAACTCTTCATTTTACGTAAGCGTTGTTTTTTTTATGAACGATTTCTTAAAATCAACTATAAGTCCTTTCAACTGTGAAAATACTGAACCTATTTCGTTTTTTTTTCATCGTAGGTAGTTTTGGCGGTTGTATTGGTAGCTGTGGCGATAGCCGACGACGCCAGAAGTAAAAAAGAAGCCATTTACAATCCTTATGGTCAAATCACAGGTAAACAATGTGTCACTATTACATTATAATATAAATAAATTGAAGAGAAAAAAAATCTAAATGTATTCACATCTTTCAACCTGAATGGCTAAACTTTGTTCGTAATATAATTCAATACAATATACAATGTCACTTATTACATTATATTATAATACGTAGGGTTGTAATATTAGGTACGTACGCATAGGATTAACCCATCTGAATGTATATTAAAAACCAAACTCGGGAAAACGGAAAAAGAAATGCTAAAGTGTACTTATACAATTTTAGTTTTTCAAATATATATCTTATTTATTTAATTTAATAATTTCAATAAATTATAGTTTTAATGCTATGGTTTTTTCTAAACGCATCGTGACCGATGCTACAAGAGTCTAACCATAATATAACATTATACACTCTGTCCCAAAATGTTTATATTCCTTTCCATGACTTTTTTTTGTTTATATTTTTAAAATACGATGAATATTTGCTGGCTTATTTTCTAAAATACAATTTAGAAAAAATAATTTGAGTTTCTTAAAAATTGTAATTAGATAGCTTAGAACTAGTTATCTACTCATATGTTTGAAAAAAATAGGTACATAGCAAATAATATATAATTCTTGGGAACTTGAATAGGTGTGTATTTAGAATTAATGATGAGATGAAACAAGGAAATCACAATGAAGTTAAAAATTAAAACTAAAGACATTTTTATTTTATTTTATTTATTAAAAAAAACAATAACATCGATTTTAATATATATATTTATTATATCTACTACATAAATTATCTAAAAATATTATTATTTATATTTTAACCTATTTATTGTGATTATGATGACAAAATAGTTTTGTAGATATTTAACAAGTCAAAATGATTATTGTTAGTAACATAGTTTGAAGAATATTTAGTAAAAACATGTAACTTCAATAATTGATAAATTCAATACACTTTAATGCTTAGTTAATATTTTATTTTATTCAATACCATTGTATCATATACAGATGGATATATAAGTACATTTTTATACATATGTGTGTTATAATTTAGGACAGTGGTGGTGTTTAGAATGACAATCACCCCTCACCTTTTAGGTTGGACTTGGTTAATTCCTGTTAGTATGTAAATTGAAAAAAATATTAAAAATGATAATTTAGAGAACTTATTAACAGTTATAATTAAAAAAGTTTTGAAATACAATTGTAAGTAAATATATATAAATATATATATCAAACGTAAGTATGTTTGGACAATATATTTTGGCAGTAGGATTGTATGATAATTTTAGTGCTAGTGTACTGGATTCCCCCACTCCCAGGCCATTGCTTTGTGTCAAAACCACTTCACAAGTTTGATGACGTTCGACTAAATAGGCACATACTCATAAATTATTACCACTCTTTGGTTTTTTTTTTTTTTTTGGTCGATTCGGAAGTCAGCTAGCGGTGATTTTATTTCTTTTAATAGAACCGTTACTCTTTTCTGACAATATAAAATTGCACGTGTGGTGAAACTATATTGGATCCTGCAATATAGGTACCTACTTCTCGCTCAATTTTTATAATACAATAAAATAACATTGCGGAAATTCGTTTTATCGTCTACGTTAACGATCGCACCGATATAGAACGGTACGTAGTTTAATATAATAATGTCGTTTGTCGTTCGAGCCCGTAATAGCGTAACGCGCGGTGAGATGTGTTACACTTACACGTTTCAAAAAATAGATCGGACCATGACAGTTCAATGATCATTAATACTACAAGCTAGTAGAAATCGACTATGACGGCATCTGAGGGATCAGACCGTGTGGTTAAATAATAAATTGTAAACTGTCTTATGCTCAAACAAAAAATAAACCGTCTTACCTGAAATTAGTTTTATGCGCCAAACAAAATCGAAAACATCATCAAATTGCAAATTAGAATTTACTCTGAAAAGCAAAAATAATCTTCACCTACTTGTGGATTTTTAACCAAACTCGTTTATGAAAAACGAATTTAAAAAAACTAAATATCATATTTTTATACTATATTTATTACCTATTTAGGGTAAAATATTTAAATTGGTGTTATCAAAAAGTGGTTTACAGTTTTAAATTATAAATATATTGTACGTGCACTGTTCGGAATTTAGAATGCTTATACATTCTAAACGAATTATGTGCCAGATGCTCTCAAAAAGCCATAGAGATCAATACGATTTAACGATTCTCGACGTCATATGAACGACTTGAAATCTTGAACTCGATATTTTTGTGTTACAGATGCCAACAAGTATTTAGCTACCGCCGGATACAATAATTACAACAACTATCAACAAGTGCCTTACAACAATTATCAACCGGCGGCGTATTCGGCGTACAACCAACAGTACTACCAACAACAACAGCCGCACCAGCGTGTCGGTGGTTATCCGTACAACGGCGACATTGCAACAGGCTACAACCACCAACAGCACTACAACCAGTACAACAACTACCCGTACAGCGGTTACCAGCAGTACAGCGGCTACCAACAGTACCCGTACAACGGTAACCAACAGTACCAGTACACCAGTAACCAGCAGTACGGCGCTTACCAGCAACAGTACCCGTACAACGGTTACCAAAACGCGTACGGCTACCAACAGAATCCGTTCGGCTACAACAGCGCGTACAACTTCAATCATGTTCTCCGACAGGCGCCCGCTTACCCGAGTTCCGGTGCTCAGGCCATCAGCCCACCGGTGCCACATCCGTTCTATCACGTACAAGGGACGTATTACCCGACCACGACCGAAGTTAACAAACCACCTGCGGCCGTTGTCACAGAAGGACCGAAAAAAACATACAAATGAAAAGATCGAAAAACTTCCGGATAGTATGATGTCACATGTTATTATAATGGTATCATTATAAGAAAATGCTAAGAAATGGAAAAAAAACATTACACAAATTATGTAAAACCACGCCACGATATTATTATAATTATTATTATTATTAATATGCACTTACAAAATAAATAAATCACTTACAGAACAAAACCTAATGCAGCGTGATCATTTCAAATTAATTTGTTTACAAAAAAAAAAAAACCTAAGACATAGTTACATAACATTTTTATTTATTTATAACGATTGTTTTTAACATCAGACCCATTAATCACTCCTGGCCATAATTGCCAATAAAAAAAGATTTGAGCCATTTTAAATAATATTTAAAGTAATCCAATAAGAGTTTTAACTAGATCCACAAAATAAATTGTTTAAAATCATCATGCTCAGGTGATAAAATATATGTATAGTGTAGGGAAATACGTTAAATATCTTGTTGAGAGTTATAGGTAAACGAGTTTTATATTTTGTATACCTACTATGTACTAATACAGTTAAAATATTTAAATCTATTCCAGCCAAATTCATCATTAAACATAACAAAATAAACTGAATCTTATTTTATAAACTATAATTGAAAAATGTTCCAACCGTTTTGATCGTTTCGATGAAATCATCTGTCATTGAATATAAAAATGTTGTTCTTTAAATGTTATGTGTTCTATGGACGTTTAAAGTTCAAGTTTTGTTGAATAGTCAAATAAGATTTGCGTCTACCAAAAGATCATAGATACAAATATAATTATACACATAATTCAATAATTCTGATTAAAACTTTGATTGCTAATTTGATTAATTTTTTCTTTTATAAAAAGTTGCATTTCACACTTTAAAGTTTTTCAATTGATTTTATTTTACTTTCATCGGGGACCTCTTCATCAAAAGGTTCACTCATTTCGGCTAACCTGTGCTCTTCTACATCATCTTCAACTTCTTGGTGAAACGGTCTTTCGGTCTCAATTTCTACATCTTCGTGATCTAGATTTTCTGCGACATCATAATTATTACTTGGCTTAATCAATTTCACCGGAATCTGTGACCCATAATAGTAGTTCATGGCTGTAGGTATAGGGGCATAATATAATAATCGTTTATGATGTGGTTTCTTCGGGTGGTGACAGTGCTCTTTTTTTGGTTTTTTTTTTGGTTTTTTTGGTTTATGTTTTTTATGAACTTTAGGACCACATGGCTTACATGGTTTGTGTTTTGGCATTGAAGGGTGATGAGGTTTATGTGGATGCAGTGGCTTATGTGGATGTGGAGGCTTATGTGGATGCAGTGGCTTATGTGGAAGAAGTGGCTTATGCGGATGATGTGGTTTGTGTGGATGGTGATGGTTGCGAGTTATCCAATGGAAAGGTACTTGACGGGCTATTAATAAAGGATGGTGCCGATTTCTGACAACTATACTCAAATCTCTCATAGGTCGTATGATTCTCATAGGAGGACGGCCTTGTTGATCACTTATTGGATCTAATGCTTTGTTACGTTCTTTTGGTTTCAACGTCATTATTGACACCTCTTTTACTTTTTTAACTTGCTCAAAATCTTCATTTCCATCTTCGGGATCTTCATTTTTTTCGGGTTCATTAAGCCTTTCTAATGAATCCATTTCTTCATGTTCGTTTAGCTGTTCTGGTTTTTCTGGTTCTCCGTAATCATCAATTTCAGGTTCATGGATCTGTTTTGCCATTGATTTCGATGAACTTGTAGGCATCCATACGTCAGATACCTCAGATTTAAATTCATCTGGTGAATCTACTTCTGGTCCTTGAAGTCCATAACTTCGAGAGCTGAGATCGTCTTGAGTGTCAATTGAACTTGTAGGTAAATTCCTGTTTGTACTATTTTGTTTAGTGTGCTCATCGTTTAATCTTCGACCGCACGCTAGTGCCGATAACCAGAATAAAGCCAACTGAAAAACATGTCAACGTGATATTTATGATAGATAGGTATATCTAATAAGTAAGTAAACACTAAAGAGTATTACAAATAATCTCACAAAGATTACAACAGAATAAATGTTGTTCCGTGTTGTTGAAAAACAAATTATAATTTCTAGACAAATACTGAGTAAGATGTTAATTTAAAAAGTGCTCCATTTTTTCAATTTTAAAATTAATTGTAAAATATTTAAAATATTAGGTATAGATCACTTTTGGAGAGTAAAAATGCTCAATCATATAAAACCATATAAAAATAAAAAATGACTATGAAAACTAGCTAGGTATTGTGTAATACGTTAAATGGATCGCTTTTTATATTATAATGATAATAATTGTTAGCATTCAATAGGTACAGTGATATTAATTCCATTGTTCGATTATAGCAATAATTGAAAACATTTCCATATCGATTTTATAAAGTTATTCAAATAAAATGTTCAGCAAGAAAATGAATCCTCGCTTAAGTAGTATTTGCATTTAACGTACCTATAAGTATTTCTATTAAAACCAGTTACGTAATTATTTTAAATCTACCGTATACGTATGATAAATCTATAAATCTATTATCCCATAATATTTTACCATTCAATAAAAAAAATCGGATTTTATTATTCAAATAAAGCCGCGGAAAAATGTATACATTAGAATTAACGATTAACAATAATAACATCAATAATACATTATGATAAGTAGTACGTTTTTTTAGGAAAATATATACATTATATTTATTTTCTATTAGAACATAGTTTTATAAAATTATTATAAGTACTTATTCGTAAGGGTATTTTGAAAACAATGAATTGATCATTATCATAATAACATGATTCATACAGTTACATACAAAATCTAAATATTTTTATTTATACTTACCAATCTTTTTGTATCCATCGTCATGTGCGGTATTCATGACGACAATTCGATTTCGACTCGGATGCACATGATGCTTTTGACACAAACACCGTTTGTAAACTGTCATTTTGATCAACGAATAAATCCTCAACATATGCGGGTTATATTCCACCTCCACCGCACGAAATGAACCGTGTCACACTAATTGTACAAAGTTTTGGTTTTCGGTTTTGGTTTGTTTTTACACACGCATTTCCCAATATTATGTCACGTTATCGGTCGCTCGATATCGTGACTACGACGTTTTGGTTGTTTTTATTCTTGTGTAGGAAAAAAAAACCAATAACAGGTGATGTAACTCAGTAGCGCTGGTAATCGGAACGAAATGGCGATCGTTTTAATTACAGGAAGTTGTGAAATCGTTCACTGGACGATGGTGTGAAAATAAGGGCACGTTTACGGTGGAGAATCATTTACCAGAATATAGTAGGTACCTGGTTTCAGGTCACGGTCAACAGTGGATATTCACTTGGGTAACGTGGCCGGTTAACTGTGAAAACGAGAGACTTAAAAGAAAACTGAAATCAATACAGGACGGTCATTAGTAGTTACAGAATACCAATTAATATTTAATGGTGTGCACTAGTAGATGTTTGAATGGAAACGAAGATTTTGAGTTTCCACAATATTATTTTTATACTGACGCCATAAATGACATGAACATTGAACAAACACACTTTATGCATTTGTACATATGGCTTTTTTTCTTATCGAATCCATTTACGCAATGAACACTACCGCCCCTTCTTAAAAAATACTTATGAATATAGAGTACTCAGTTCAACTGTAAAATATATACTTAAAAGTGAATAAAAGCACGACAACTTTAAACTTATAAAACGTTTTTTACCATAAATGCATACGAATTGAAGCAAACAAAAAATAAACATTTTTATAGGATCGAAACTTTTGTAATTTAACTTATTTTTAATGTATAATATTCATTCATACACTAACACCAAAAAATCCTAAAAAAAAAATGAAAACACCATGATTATTATATAAGATATATTTTTTATATAGACTTAAATATTATGGATGCATACGTATGAGTGTCATAATATTATGTGTATGTATATTGTATGTATACGGTGTACATGTATGATGCATTTATGGATATATTTTATGTATGTTTTTTTTTTTATTTCAAAGCAAATCAAAAATCAACATACTATCGACGAGTGTTGACTTTCTTTTAATTTTAAATAGTACCTAATTCCTATTATTTCAACCTAGGTTTAGGTAGCTTAATATTTTTAATAATATTTTAATGTTTGCCATTTTTAATGATGTCAATATTGTATGATTTAAAATTGTATTGATTATATCTAATGAACTGTCACGTTTAAACATCCACTTTAGAAGCTTTTTAAGTTTCAGTGTTTATTCTGTGTATGTATATTTAGTAGATATACAAATATATATATTCATTATGCCATTTTTTGAATTTAGATAAGTGATCTCGGGTTCCAGTTCATACTTAGACAATAATTCATAATTAAATATCAAATCGATAAGTGTTCAATTGAGGTTGAAAATGTACGTCATTCGTCATTGATTCTTTCTATTTTATAAACTAAAGCTTAGTTACTTCAGTATATTTATAATTGAAGTATCATTATATCATATTATGCATCTATTTGATGTGTATAATACATAATATGCATAATATTGCGTTTGTATTCACAAAACATTCATAATATTTGCATCATAATATAATATATTGTATTTGTGATCTATGGTTAAAATTATTTTGAAACGAAATAATTCAAAATGGTCATATCATCGTAGAGACCATTTGTCTCATTAGTCATTACTACTTAAAAAAGTACACGAATATAATCTATTTATATAAATATATCAAGTTAACACTTCATTGAAAATAAAAAATAATTATTCATGAAATTAATACCCCTTCAAAATTGATTTTATTTCATAAGAATTAAAGAACTGGGTGAAAGACGTTTTCAAATCTTTACAACACCAATCTCATTAACATTTGTGGTGATTTATTATTATTAGCTAACCCACAGAAATTTGCGGTTTAACTGAATTGTGTGTTGGTTTAGGCTAGGGATACTGCGGTATGTTCATGTGATCGGAATGTTTTACACTCGTCATTTATTTGTTTTCCGGTATGAAAAAAAATTCAACTCACAATAGGTATTCTAACGATATTAAATCAATATTATCGTACTTTTCTTGATACATTAATAATTACGAAGACATTTAAAAAAATAAAAATAATATATTCTTACCTATTAAATTGCGAATAGAAAATAAATAATAGTAATCAGGATCAGAAATAATAACACAATAGAACATAGCTTCAATCATTTCTTTCAGCATGTATAGACAAATAAATAGGTATATTAATAGTATGTACGGCATAGGTTCTCAAACTTTTTATTGTATACCCCATTTTGGAAATTTTTTAAAATTTGGAGACCCACAATAATATGAATGACCCTTTTTTTGCTTATTGGTGGGTCAGTGCTTACAATAAAAAATGAATATTAAAAAATATAATTTTTTTTATGTTTTTAGAGATTCTATTTTTATTTCATAAAAATCGAGAGGTTTATTCTTCATGGATGGTTCGTATCAATATGTCGATGTAGTTTGTTCAGTCACATACTCTCATTTGCAAGTATATATCCACAAATAACTAGGGCTTCAAAACGATTTTATTTATTCAAATAACTTTTAAACCTAAAACATTTAACCGCATAAGTTGAATAACGTTTAAATTCTTTATAACGTTAAAAAGTCAATCGATCATAAAGTTTAATATTCCTATATCAGTAAATGGTATTATTAATTTTTTGATTTAAGCCCTGCAAATAACACATTGTGGTCGTAGATGTTCTTCGACGAAAATCCTATTTGAAAAAATGTTCAGAACAATATATAATAATATATATAAAGGTTTTTTTTATTTGACTGAGAAGAACTTGTTGAAGGCTCATCATAATTTAATTTTCATTTTTTAACTGTTGACACAGATATTGTCTCTGTTTCTTCTTAAGTTTGAGTTATTGACTTTTTATTTAACCTTTTGTCCATACTTGTACAAAATTACAAAAAAATCGAATTTATTTGAAGAAAAGTTATATAAAACTGCGTTCATGTATCGTATTCGATGTGCTGTGTGTTACTGAAAAGTGAAAATAATCAATAGTCTTGAACGTCATACAGGTATCTACTAATTTGTTTCAAATTCATCGCTATCTTTTCAATAACTATTAATCTGGTTGCGTCGTTTTGACACGGCCACAGTAAACTCGAAATCGTCGTCGCACCCTCGCAGATAAAGATTGACAATAAAACTGAATTTGAACATCAACGAAAAATAATAGATGAATTAAAAAATGTGTTATATAAAAAATATTACTCGACCCACCAAAAATATTATCTCGAATCACTTTTGTGCCGGGACCCACAGTTTGGGAACCTCTGATAAATAGCATATTAGTATATTACTATATTAATAGTATAACTTTATAAAATAAATTATTTTGTCTCAATAATTGTATTATACAAATACTATTATGCTTAGGTAGGTATATAATTATAATAAGATTATGATAAACGTAATGATATAATTTAATACAAAGAAATACAAAATAATTTTAATTTTATATTATAATCAGGGAGGATTGATGAATGAATTGATTTTACAATTACATATGTATTTTTCTTTAATTTTTTTTTATGTGTCTTTCATTACCATTTTGGACAGTAAAAATGTTTCGATTTTCTTCAACGGCATATTTCGTGATAGGAAAATGAATTTAGTTGGTATTTTGGGGGATAGACTAAAGAAGTAAAAAATTCTCGATATTTTTCAAAAACGTCAAGAAAAACAAACAATTATGGAAAAACTGGGAATTTAAAACAAAATGATTTAAAAAAAATCAATGGTGTCGACATAATTTGATATATTTGCATCGATTGACACTACTATTTACTATTTAAGTCTAAATATTTGAAAAATAAGTACTTCAAATGTTTATTTAAAGAGATTATCTTAAATATAATTTTTGGTTTATTATGAATTGGATCGAATTTAATAATTTAACAATCAAAAATTATTGATCGAAAATATTTAAAATAACTATACATGTGATTTTAATGGCTGAGATGTTTCCATAGTATAACTATGTTCATTGTTCTATTATGATTAAAAACAATAACCTTACTCCAACTTTATATACTTGACTTTTCGTTCATGTGTAGGTAAGACACTAAGACATGCAAAAAACTCTTATTACAATAATATACTATGTATAAACAATTTAAACTCTTTGTTGCCAATGGTCATAAAAAAAATATATATATATATACATTTATATGGAGTAAATGGATATATCATTGAAGCAAAATAAAAATAAATTTGAAAAATTCATCATTGTGAAACCAATACCTTAATCGTTCTTCTAAGAATATAATACATAACTGATTTAATTTCTCCAGAAATGTTTGAAAGTGTATTCTATGTTTATACGCAGAAAAAAAATTTGAAATAAAAACACGGTCTTTAATCATCACAAATTGAGCCAAGTGTTTCTATATTTGAATATTTAAATTAAGTTGTATAATGTATATTGTATATTATAAATAATGTTATTATATCAGCTTGTATAATCATTTTTAGATTTTAAAAATATTTGAATAAAACATCATTTCTTACACTTTTCTAAATAAATACAATTTTTACTTATTAGCTATTCAAATATTTCATGTCTATTAATCAAATAAATTTACCATTCTTTATACATTTTAAAAATGTAATGGTAATCTCGTATATTGCGTGAGAAATAAACATGAACAATAAATTATAATATTACCTATACGGTAATATATGTACATAATATATTAATATATACCTACTATATAGGTATAAACCTATAATTTAAAAATAAGTAAAATTCACCCGCAATTTAAGCAATGTAAATTGTACGACAAACAAATTACAATTGAAAATAGAAAAAAAACCTATGAAGTAGTTATAGATGTGAGTTGTAACTATGTATTATAACATTTACTAATGCACTTATTACAGTAGTATACACGGAAACTAATCTTTTATGCATTACGTATAGGGACAGGAAAACATAATAATTTATTTTTCTAGGGCTATAATATAATGCCGGGTTAAAATTTTACAAACTTTCGATTTAGGTTAAATGTATAATAGAGTATATTGTGAACTATTTTAAATTTTAACATATTCTTTAATAATATAGTTATGATGTAGTTATGTTTTTCTTACGCGAAAAATGTATGTCAACGAGAATATTAAGAAGTGGAAGTTCAAAATTTCTATTTCATTTACAAAATAAAATAATTGTTAAAATTGTAAAATAATTGTAAAATTGTAAAATAATGTTTTTTTTTGTGATACACTAAATTACTAATATTAGTAATATTCAGTATTTATGAGACAATTCATAGTAACTATTTAGTTCTAGTTTCGAGATACAAAGATACAATTATTGTACACAGGTTCCACCTCAAATTTATAAAATGCAACGTATTTTAGCACAATTCATTAAAAAAATATATCATCAAGAATCCATGAATACGATTAAAATTAAATAAAAATACCATTTTTATGATATTTTTACAGTGACATTTTTTTTTCTTGATTTATATAGAAAAATGTATGAAGAGTACGGAAAAATTCAAAAAAAAAAATACACGATACTATAATATTATAGTTATTACTTATTGTATATTTATCGAATAAATTCACATTTCACAATAGTTTGACATAATATTATTTATGAGAAGGAGACAATCATAATATTAAATATACTGATAAAATCCGATTTATGAAATCCGGAAAGTAAATATAAAGTAATCTTTACTATTCTCGGATACACAACGAACGAAATTTATTAAATTGCAGCGAATGGTTTTACGGTTGAACGAACAAATAACAACAAATTCAATCTCACGCGAGTAATTTTACGCCAGGTGCTATAAAGACATAATATTATATTGTATAGAAATTTAGAAGAAAAAAAAAGTGACAGGATAAGACAGTTTAGAAAATATTAAAATATTTTGATTGGTAACAAGTTGTTTCAAAAAATAAAAATAAAAAACATACCTATCGCGGTGGTAACTGACGATTTTTTTCAATGAGACGCTGCACATATAAAAATGAAACCTTCTTAATATATTGCATAATATTATAATAGTCCTCTACACTTTAATAATATAATATTATACGTACATGTGGAATGTCTGTATCTAAATGATGATCATAAACTTGACTCACGGCGTATGATATTGTTTTGGAACCATCTGGTGGGCGCCACTACCGGCGTGTGAATACTAAATGAGTGACAAAGAAAATCAAACGGCGATCTCGTGAAGCAAAAACAAACCGGAAAACGTGTTCCGGTAACGATGAAATCGCGACGCAACGATAACGACAATGACGATAAAAATATGCTGTACAAAATATTATTATCGTATATTTGGGTCTTGAAAACCTTACTCGGATGAACGAGAACGATCAATCGAATTGGCCAACGAACCGTTTCGGGCGCATCGAACGGCATTGGGATCGTGTAGTACCAAATCTACGCAGGTACACTAAGCCGAGACCTTGAGCGCGTTTTCACCGAGCCTGTGTCGAGGGCACTTCCGGTCTCGGTGTCGGATAAATATCCGACATTCCGGAGGATTTCAATCAAGTCACTCGAGTCACCGCAATGATGTTCCAGTGGATCGCTGCTCTTCTGATCGTCGGATCCGGCGCGTCCACCGCGTTCGTCCACTCCACCAACCAGCAGTCCAACCATCAGTCCAACCATCAATCAGAGTCTAGTTACAGCAGCAGTTCTTCACGTGAGTTTTGGATATTTCCGAACAAATTTTAAGTCCAGCAATGTATTATTGTTATTATTTACACGTACATTTTTCCTCAAACGACTCTCATCGTGGACAGCCGCGTTTCCGTCATCAGCTGTTGTAGAACGCTTTGATTTCAATTAATGCCGCCACTCCCTTTAGTCTTTACTAAAGAATTAATATTATTCTTGCGTGACTAATTATAATCCACTTAAGTTTAGCCCTTAGAATATTCATTAAATTTCCATAAACACCCTTAATGCTTGGTAAAACCTCTTTATAGCATAGACAAAAAAAAATACCGAATAAGATAAACCTAAATATACAATATTATAAAGACCAACGTTTCAGATTTATTATCCACATTCTATAACAAAAAATATTCACATACTCGACTGTGCTTTTATCAAATAAATAATGATTTTAATTTTATAAAATACCGATCTATTGTTTTTATTTTATTTTGATACAAACATGTGCAACTGTAAGTAAAGTTTGTAAACGTTTTAAAAAGTGCTTACATATTAGTGCAAAATGCTAATTATATTATGAATACTTGATATATAATATTAACACACCTATGAACATTTGGTACGAATTAATTTGAATTGTACTCAAAAGTTCTGAGAAGTAATATTATTTGCATACCTTATTAGTTATTAGTTACTCTACCAGTTATAATTTTGTGAGTCCTTAGTTGTTAATTTAATACAGAATATAATAAATCCTGACAATTTATGTTTTAATTGCAGATAACGGTGGTCATTCATATAGTTACATCAGCCAATCAGCCCACGGCCCAGGTTATAGTTACAGTTACAGTCACTCCAATGGCGGATCACCATTATTCTTACCAGAATACGCTTCTGGATATCATTCATACACCCCCCTATTCATTCCATCAATCGATTTTGATTTTGACTTTGATTTGGATGATGATCTAGATACTGATTTAGATTTCTATATTGATACAGACTTGGATTTAGACATAGATTTGGATTTTCCGGGCATTGAATACGGACTCGGTTATGTTGGAAAATATGGACACTGGTTTAGAAAGCCAAAATACGGAATTTCCAAGTTGTACAGCAGTATCGATCTAGATTTTTTGAACTATGGAGGAAACTACGGATACGATCATTTAGGACCATTACATTATGGATCATTTAATATTTACAAATAAATATATTAGTCAAAATAGTAAATTCAACTATTTATTTATAATTAGTATCTATTTAATAATTTATTTATTATAATAACATGTCATTTAGCATACGATCTTACCCTTTCGTTAACATATATAGAGTTTAAGAATTCAATTAGTATCTAGTCCATGGCTTAATAGACATTATAGTGGCTTCAGGATTGAAATAACCACTTATTTACAAACAAGACTTTAAGTAAATTTGTATTGTTTAATTATATACTTTACCGTAAGACAGTAGGAATTCATTATATTTGTGCAACTAATATTATAATAGGTATATTATACTACTTATATTTGTATGTCATGCAATAAATAGAATGTATAATGTTTGAAAATAATTTTGTAATTGAATCCATTGTGAAATCAAATAATATGAATAAGAACATTGACAATCAGAATGCGGTCACATGAAATAAATCATCTCGCGTATCGGAATTTTTAACTGTGTTGGTACTGCGTTAATAGATTAATAATATGTAAATCTAAAATATAGTACAATAACCATAGAACATATTAATTGACAAATTTTGACAATTCGAGTGATTATACTATATAAATACATATTATATTTGCAATTATTAGATTGTTATACATATTGCATAGTACGTGCTACATAGAAAACATTAAATATGTGTAATAGTATAACTAACTGAGAAAATGCAATAATTATCGTCAGTATCGATGGGTCTGTTCATAGAATACATTTTAGCCATACAAAATATACTGGATGATTCTGGATTCACCAAGCATAATAACCCACATTTTTTCTTAATAACACATTTATTCAAAATATTCTGATTTTTTTAATTTTTAAATTTACTAAAGACCATATTTTAAAATTATTGAGATTTTTTGTACTACTTAAAGAGTGTCTTGTGAAAATCACAATTTCTATTTTTTATATTATTAGCTATTGAAAATTATTTGGACAAAATAAATATATATTATTACATTTAACACGTGTTCAAACTAATAATTCCCTCTACAAACAGTGAATGGCTTAAGTTACCGAGCTTAAGATCAATAAAAAAAAAGTTCCAACTAAAGATGAACTTTTGTTTTGATTTATCATTCGGCAGAAATTGTGAGTTATCCGCTTGGAGATTTTTTTTTTATACGCATACATATAAATACCGTATTTAGATACTACACACATATAATTTATGATAGGAAAAATACATCAGTTCATGCATTTCAAATATAAAGGCAAAATACATCTAATTTACGTATTGAAATGCAAAACACAAAGCAAATTAAGTTATTTACTTAAGTTTTTGAGAAAAATATCAACACTTTTCTTAGATCAGAACATTTTTATGGATTATAAAAAAATGTATTTATATTATTAATTACAAGTACTCTATTATATACACAAACAATAATTTATGAATCATGTATATTTTGTAAACATTGTTCACTTTTAAAAATATGTTTTTTAAAAATTAAAATACTATTTCTCTCATCGTCTTACAAACTGTAAATATGATTGAGGGACTAGACAACTGATGGTGGCCCGTTTAGTTTTGCGACGGCACGTGCAAGATAATAATTTATAGATAAAGACACTTAACGCATTACTATTGTTAAGTATAGGAAATAAATATCGTTAAGATTGTTATTGTTTATCATTAGGTACTTCACAAAATTCAAACATGAACTTTTTTTTATTCTTGGTTTTTAGTTTTTCTTTATTTTAAATAAAGTTAATCGAAACATTGCTAATTCCTGCATCATAATAACTAGTAATATTATATTCTATAAAACTTATAGTATTAAATTATCTGTTGTATTTTAAATTTAAATTACAACTATACACGTTTAGTGCTGAGTTGTTCAAATTGTATTTTTTAGGACTTAGGTACCATGCATTTTAAAGTATACTCATATTATTCAAATACACTAACTCAAGGATTTTACCTAAAGAAGAAATAGGTACCTACTCAAACTGAAGTTTAATAAGTCATAAGTTATTGTTACTGAAAATAAAAAACCATTTAGTTTAAATGTTAACACAGTTGGATAATAAAAAGTAAAATAACCATTTTTAAATAAAAATTCTAAAAAAGTAAAGTTACCGGCCCATCTCAACTTACATGGATTATTTAAGAGAAGTTGACTTGTGAATTCTTATGAAATTGACCTATAAAATTGTTTTATGCCAACAAATATTTACGAAATTTTACTAAACTTGACAAAATATGAGTTTGAGCAGTCGATGTAAGACGATGTAACTTCACATACATAGTTACATGTGTACGGCTCATAAATATATATTCGTTTAGAACGGCCAAATATATAAGATGCGAGATGTATAATATATAAGTACTATATTGTTTAATTTAAAAAATGATTATTAGTATTAAAATATAGTATGTTAATAGTATTATCAATATCTAATTTAAGTCCTAATTTTTAGAACGATGTATGACAAAAAATCATTCCTAAAAAGAACTATAACTATATTAGTAACTACTAACTACTTCAGGCTGTCTATGAATAATCATAAATGGCTTAACTTGTAATATCGACCGATCGTAAATGCACAGTGCACACCTTATAAATGAAATGGTATCATAATATATGGCTTATTAATAATCATACAATAAATACAATTTCATGGTCAAAATTGCACATTTTCAAAACCATAGGCGATGTTAGGTACTTGAATGTATCATTACAATAAATTGATAGTTAAATACCTAACTCATTTGTTGAAATATGTCAATATGGCATAACTCATTATTAATTTTATCACTAATATGTTACCTACATAACAATAATGTTCAGTGAAAAAGCGTATTGGACAGAAATCAAACAAAACCACTGTAATTATATTATTTCATAGAATGTAAGTAGGTACCTAATTTATATCTTATCATTAATGACTGATATTCGAATCAAATTGAACAATTTAAATTATTTATCTAACTCAAACTAAAATGTAAAAATTGTAATATCTTTAAAAAAAATATTATGTCGATACAATTATGATGAAAGATATAGTATTCGTCCACGCTAATTGATTTAGTCATTTAGATTCCGTTAATTCGTATATTTACAATTTTCAATTTTTCAACCTCACTTATGGATCTATAGTCACTACAAAAATTGAAAAGTTTGGAACATCATTAGAGGTACGACTTCCGATCACTCACAAGACGTAATAAAGTACAAATAAATGTACTGGATTTCGTTGATTTGATTAACTTGAGGAAAAATAAAATAACCAGGTTAATTGTGTAGGTAAATTAGGAAAATTATATCAAAAACCATCTCCTATCTAGCTAAGGCATCTACGGTAAAATCTATTAATGTTTAAAAATAGCTGCTTAGTATTCTTAGAAAATAATAAAATATAAAATCAATGAATTATACGAATTTGAGAAATATAAATAAGATTTTAACACAGATTTAAGTTTAAATTCCAGATCTCGTTTTTCACAATAATCTAGAAAATCGACTGTTTTGATTAGGTAAGTTACACATTTTGAACAAGCCTCCATAATTTCGATGATATCCGCTGCCATCGCCAGTTTTTCCGAGGACTACATTCTGGGCGGATCGTAAAGGTGGAATGAACATCAGTCACTTATATTGTTCACAAAGCTCTTGTATGAATGCCGTCAATTGCATACACCTTCAAAGCGCTTACTTAGAATTTATTGTATCTAAGTATTGATCATAAACAATATTATTTATAATCTATGGTATTATGTTGTGTGTACCCACCTGCCTTCATTGTATAAGATTTTTAAATCTGAGTATGGTTTCTGAAATATAGTTACGTACCATACAAATAATATTGTGCATTACCATCGATTCGTATTATTCATATTATATTATTATTTAATATATCAGCGATGGCGAACCTTTTTGTACCAGCGTGTCAAATAAAAATTTTGGTTGGATTTTGTTTTCCCTGCGTGTCAACTAATTCGATAACTCTTCAATTTTTTTTTCAAAAACTTTAATATTATCAAACGTATACACATTCGTGTGTGTCACTAAAATAGTGTGCGCGTGTCACTCTGTGACACGTGTGTCATAGGTTCGCCATCTCTGTAACATATATTATACATACCACATACGTAATATTTTATAAATTACGTATTTTAGAATATTTGCAACATTGTTGTATCATTATCTTTGACAGTAAGTTGTAAAATAGGATAGGGTGTGTATTTAGGAGGAGGGTTAAAATATTGAAGAACACCGAATAATATAGGACATCATCTTTGTTTTTGGATAACTGTGTACAACGATAAATATTGTAATAATCTGGCTTTTGGGGTCTTACGGCACTGTAACACTGCGTAACAAATAATAATAATACTATTTAATAACGAGGATTATTACCAATGAAAATAATATGTACTACCTAATCATTTAATACCATATATTAACAATTTTCAATAAAAACAATAATTTACACGTATACTATATCAAGTCCAAATGCATTGTAATTTTTTTTATGCAGAGTGATTCAACAAGTTTGCTCACACCGTATTTCCTTCTACTGTACAGTTATTCAAAATCTGAGTTTTGGAATTTTTAAATTTAATTAAAGACCATATTATTTTTAAATTCTTAAGATGTTTGTGTACTACTTGTAAGTAAAAAAGATTGTCCTGTGGATACATAAACTTCTGTTTTTCAAATGATGAGAATCCCAACCCCTCATTCTCATTTAAAAAACAGCAGTTTGTATCTTCACCACCTCATAAACTCCTTAAGAAGTACAACAAATTCAAAATTTGAATTAATTAATAAAAAATGAGGGCGGCGAATCACCCTGAATAAGTTTTTGCTTACAATGCTACCTAATAATTTTTTTAATGTGCTCAAACTTGAAATTACATTTTTAAAATAGTGTGTGCAAAGGTCTATCATATTTCAATTAAAATATTCGAAATGTATGTGAACAGTTGACCTTGATAAGTGATAACTGTGTAAAATGAGATGACTATTAAAGATTTATTATAATTACCTGCTATTATTTTTACTCAGTTTAATGTACAAAATAAAATTTAATATGATATACAATAATATTGTCATACAACTATTCTAATTAATATTTTTATTTTGCACATAACTTATAACGATAACCACACATATAGCCTAATACAGTAAACACCTAAAAATTTGTTTTGTCATTATAATATGGATTGGATTCTCAAATAAATATTAGCGTTAGTATTAGTAAGTACCTACATAATATAGTATTTATACGTATATACAAATAAACTTTAATTTATTCGCATTGAATTCATAATCATAGTTTTGATTATTATTTCAATAATAATACAAATGTTATTTTGTTAAATAACCACCTTATTTCAATTAAATTGGCAACGCATTAAGTGTTAGTAAAGTTTTTTTTATTATTTAATCTACGACAAATACGAGTTTTGTTAGGTACGGCTAAATCATGTATATACTCGTAATACAAAAATTGAGAAGCAATTGTTTTCTAATCCGTGTAGCCAAGATAAATAATGTTATGATCACATAAAATATTTATTTCAGTGATATCATTTTCCTCGTCACGAACAATGAATTAAAATTAATTATGTATTAATTAATATAATTAATATATACATACCTGTGTCACTAATGAACTCTTGAGAAATATATTAGTTAAAATAAAAATCTTACTACTCATAAGATATTTTTTTTCAAAGTGGTGATTAAATTATTTTATTAGACTATATTATAATTAAATAAATAATGATACTTAACACACACATCAACGTTATATTTTGTTTCTAAATTGTACTCACTGTTTAGAAACCTGGGTACACTAATTTAACAATTATCATATATGTATACTATTAAACTGTTATCGTGAAATGAGAAAACGAGAAGGATGATTATGTGAAAAATAATTATTAAAGAGCTCTTCAGTAAGCATTATAATAATATTATTTTTTTTGTGATATATTATTTATAAGTTTTTGTTAAAAAACTGCTCATTCGACTTTTTTTTAAATAATGAATTTATTCAAATTCAAATTTTTGGAATTTTTAAATACACTTTATACCTTAGAGTCTTGTGGTGATAGAAACTTCTGTTTTTCAAATGAGAACCCTCATTTTTCTTATAAATTATTTAGTAGATAATTTTTTTGAAAATGTCGATATAATTAATTCAAAATTCATATGAGTAGTTTCTTAGTTATTAAAATGTTTGTACTCAAGATAATAGTATTCTTAAAAATTGTTTAATAAAAGTATAAAATAGTTTTAATATTGGAATTAGTATTTAATATATTTTTATAAATTATTCATGTTGATAGATCAATATTCATGACTGCTTTTTTCAAATCACCATAACCACCATAACTTATAAATCCATTACCATAGACCTTTTATCCTTAGAACACAAAGTTAAACAATTCAAAAACTACTCTTAAGAATTTTGATTCCGATACTTCAATTTTTCAGAAAAAATATCCATTAAATAACTTACGGTTGAAAAGGAGTGTTCTCATTTGAAAAATAGAAATTTGTATCTTCACAGAATACTCCTTAATCAGGAGAGCAATATATAGGCTGACAGACCATTTTCGGTCAGAATCAATTTTGGTGTACCTACAATGATTAAATATCATTGAGTTCAAATTTAATACAATAATTAAGGTGACCAATTCGACACTTACTGTACGGCAGAGTGCTACACATTTGTGCATCGTTTTTAATAATGAAAACTTTAAAATAGATAAAGCTTGGTTTTATATCGTATAATAATGTTGGTGCAATGATCATATTAATATTATTGATTTGATATAATTACTTACTAAATTTACCTAAACATTTAGTTTTATTTGTGTTTCGATAACTTTGTAATCTGTACATATGTGGCATATAAGTGATGACATTTATTTATTTTAAACATTTAGAAAACTTGAAAACGAAATGGAAGAGCACCGCCCAGTGACGGCATTTCGTCGTGAATTTATGTGCTTATGGTGTTAAAATTAAATTAGGTTTCAAAGCTATTTTCGTCTGAGGTTTCTAGTGGGGATTCCGGGAATAAAGTTTGTTAAGAGGTTATGAACAAGGATATTACTGTGGTTTTAAAGGTAGTTTGAAATAAAGTTTTTTGGTTGTTCCTGTTATTTTGGTAATGTAAAGCCCTTTGGCTTGACTGTTTGAAATGTTCAGAGAAAATCAGCTATTAATCTGTATATTTTATTTTGTAATATTAAAATGTTTAGTGTATTTGACTTTTAATCTAAGCCACATATTTGTATACTTAACATCCAAATGTGTTTGGGTAGTCAGTTGTAAGGTTTAGTTTTAAAGTGGATTTTTGAATATACATATGCCTACTATAAACCATATTTGGTACACTAAATTCAAGTGTTTTTTAGTATTCTTAATTGCAGTTTATCAAATATACACAAATTGATCTAAAACAAGACATTATTATTTAATTAAATCTTATATTATATATACGTTACATCATTTTTCTTAACTATTTATATTTTGATTAGGTACAACGCTTTAATTTAAGACAAACTGAAAAGTGAAAATGTATAACACGATGTGAATTTATTTTATATTATTCACCTATAGATGTATTTAAAATATGAGTTTATACAAAGATAAAAAGCTCATCTTTAAAAAAAAAATTCCTAAAATCTGGTAGTTATTGAAATACTTTTAGTTGAAATACTCATGTATTCAAATAAAAATATAAAAAGTTAAATATTAAATATTAAATCATTTTTTACATTTCTCACCTAACCTTTGACTTACAATATTATTTGTACCTTACTGACATAATAAAATAGATTTGTTACTATTTATTTTATTTGTTTTGGCAATAGTATGTAAAAACAGATTGTAAAGGTATAAAATTAATAATTATTATAAAAGTGTTTACTTTAATTAATATTATTACCTTAACAACTATTTTTTTTGTAGTTTTGAGTTACTAACTTAAATGTTAATTAATTAATTCCCAGTTTCATAAAAAAATTTTTTTTTTTAATCATAATGTACGTTATATTAAAATGTATTGATACAATATTTTTTTTTTTATCCATTTTAGTAGGTACGGTACACATGCATAAACTATAATATTTCACAGTAAATATTCCTAAATTTAACAAACTATTTTGTTATAATTACTATATTGTAATATAATAATATAATATAATTGTAATGTTTTGTTTAGTTGATGAAAGTGTTAATAACGTTTGTCCCAGCCACTTGAATCTACTCCAAAATTATGATGATTATTTCCGGATTCTCTGTTTCCTTCTGAAATATATATTTTAAATATTAATTTTAATCATTTCATGAAAAAGGTTAATCATATTATCGTACTTCGATTGTAAATTATAATAATCAATATTAAATGTACATATTCTAAAAGCAGTTGTATACTTTAATACTAATGATGATGAATTATAAATTAAAATCGTCCATTAAAATAGTATGAAGATTGATAAACAAGTAGGTACACATTTATTCTTATATCATGTTCAGAAATATTAAAGTATATGACTGTCATAAATTGATACCAGTCCCTTACGCCATAACTTTAAGTGAAGTATCAAACAATTGTTAGGAATGTTTAGATATACTACTTCTCCTATAGCCAAGGTATAAAATGCCAGTTCCCATTACCTGTCAAACTATTGAGTGGATTTTAAAAAAATACATGATAGCAGGTATATTACATAATATGTCTTTATGAGTTATGACCTTTATAGTTCATGCAAATAAATGAAATAAAATAAAAATATTAATTTATTATTATTTATAACGGCTATTACTATTTAGTATTTACTCGTTGTAAATATTTTGAGCTAAGGACCTTTATTTTTTCACATATGTGTTAACAACCTAATCTCGTCAAGGAGTCTAGGTAAGGATATAATTTTGAAAGTTATTTAAACTTGTCAGTGTTTATTAATGACACATTAATATATTATACTAAATGGGCCTAAATATAAAAGTGGTTTAATCTGACACAGATGAAAATATATAAATATAAAAATAACTTGAAACGTGAAATGGTTAACCATATTTAAAATGGTCTCACATTTCAATAAATTAGTTATGTAGGTGTGTTGGTGTAGTATAATTGTCATGTTGAACAATTTTTATTGTGGTTTCACGAAAGTGGCTAACATGATACAAAATATGTAAGAACTACGTAAAGGTCCACTATTTCCTAACTAAAAATGTAAATTTAATTTTGTAGCAACTTACAAATAAATACTACAAAGCAATAAATGTAAAAAAAAAATATTATTCAGTGAAATACTGTAGTCCATAGGTAACTCAGTCACGAAAAGTTATGATGGATCCATTTTCAAAAGGTTCCAGCTACAAGCTATGTTCGCATTATTAAAGAGTTGCCCTTAAATATAGATTTAACCATATTTGCTTCATTCATTTTAGAGAAAAAAAAAAAAATAGTTTACACTCATTAAAAACTATTTTAAAATTAAAAACATAATACAAACTAATATAATAAGTATAATAGTTTTAAAAAAGTCGTAAAACAATCAATTACTTTGTTGCTGTTACACTCAAATAAATACTATATGATTTATCCGTGTTTAATTGTATAAGATAATTTTGTTCATCATATTTGCCGTTCAGATAAATAAAATATTATATTTACTATATATTAATTTTACATTTTAAGGTAAGTACTAATCTTTATCAAATGGATAGTGTTAAATATGAACCCCTTTAGACATTATTTAATAAATGTCTTGACTACTAGATCAATCCTTGTTCCTAAAATATATATATTCGTTCGATATAATAATAAGCAACATTTGCACATAATCATCTACTAGCGATGAACAATTTTCCGGTATACTATTATAATAATATGGTGTATCAAAAACGTTGAGTAAGCAGTTTAAGGTATACCTACTGTTAAATGTTAAAAAAAAAAATTAAATTTCATACGTAATAAATAGTGTTTGCAGTTGTACCTACAACGAGTAAACACGTTTACTTTAAGTTTGAAATATTTCACAAATGTTTTAAGACGCTACATCTCGCGGCGAAACGTTTGAGAGCTAAAACTAACATACTTTATACAATTGAAGACAGTCTTGACTGCATTCATGACTGCGTCCGTATACAAATGAACGCGTTCACGAAAGAGTTCTTTTCCGGACGCCTTAATTCCACCCAGTGCTTTTATTAAGTTATTTACTTCACCGACGCCGCCGCCGCCACGTGATACAAGATGAGCTCCACCGGCGTGCCGTCGTTTGTGCACGGAGAGCCTACTCCTCGCCCACCCGCACAGCCAATGTCTCACAAAACTTAATGCATTCCCGAACACACGAAAAGGTGTTTATTACGTAAGCATAACACGCGTCTCCTGAACCCGGCAGCGTTTCTAAGCCCCGCAACACTCCTATTCGCGTTGAATTCGCAATAATAGTTATAACTATTTCAATCCATTCGCATTGAGTTTCCGAACATTTTTTTGCCACCCATTCAATGTATACTTTGAGTTTTAGTTTTGCCATTTCCCAGTTCTATATTATGTAATATGAAATTCGGGAAACGGTTATTCTCTATAGTGTAATCAAGTTTAAAAATTATGATCTCATAAATATTCATTTCAGTATTATATTACCTACCTATACTAGCTATTTTCTCCACTAATATTCTAATATGTTTATTGTGTACACCTATTTATAATATATATTATAGGTATGTAATAATTCATAAACAATGTATAAGTTAAATTCATTTGTAGTATAAGACATTTTTTTAAAACTCGTGATTAAATGAAAAAATTAGTTTATTGCTTAAACATAATTTAGTGCTTCAACCAAACCTAACCTAACCTAACCTTCATTGTTTCTTAATATCTCTTATTATTCTATATTTTAATTAATTATGTGTACCTATTGCCCGGGAGTGTAACATATATACTGTCATGGAGTCAGAAGTATGCTTGTGTCACAAATTAGAACCAAAGAAAAATACTTAACTATAGTAGTCTAAAAATAGACTCTCAGATAATACTATAATAGTACCTTAATAACAATTTACGAAATATTACTGGGGTTCTGGTCTATGAGGCCCGTGTACATTATTTTGACATGTTCGAAATTTTGAATTTTCCGTGTGGAAATGTCTTTTAAGAATACTATGAAATATTATGCCAAATAACAAAAAATGTATGATAAAAAATTTTCTTTTTATATTTTGGCAAACATACAAAGAAATACCTATATATGAACGGAAATTTTACCGTGTACAAAATTATGTACAAGTGACAGTGAACGTGACATTGACTAAAGATGATAAAAACCTTACGAATACAATTAACGTATTTTTAAGTATTATACCAACTTGGAATCACGGTTTTCATCATCCCCATAATTCAACATGGATTAGAACTTGCTTGTTGTTTTTATTCCACAATAGTGTCCCATATGGCCAGTGGCTATTATCAAGACAATAATGTTTTGAGCATTTTATTTTTTATTTTTGTATTTCGGTGTAAATATTATTCATAATGTATGCTTTTTCAATTAATTTTTTATAATTTTTTTGCAAATAACTAATGTTGACGTTAACTTTAAGCTGTAATGTCAATATGTCATTTACAATTTTTAATTAAAGTTAAACAATGAAAAAAACAAAGCGTTAATAACATTTGCACTGTATTAGTCTTTTCATCCGGCCTTTGACAGCAAATAAAACTCAATATTCTTAAAGACCATAATCGTGCGTGTTTCACAGTTGTCGCAATAAATTAAAACAGAGTGATATGCCCAAAGACAGATTATAATAACATCGTCTTTATTTTTCTTCTTATACATAACACCATGCTATGTTATGTAATTATGTTATCTTAAATACTCAGGTCCAATTTAATTCTCAATCCATAGTCTGCACTAGTTCACTCAGATTTAAAATAAAAACCGTAGAAGGAATGGCCAAATCCTGTGCAAACGATTTCGCTTACATCTATAAAACCATCAAAATCCTATAATATCCTCTCTTTATTCCATCATCACCCTAGGTAATCCTCTTCGTAGATTCAAGAGGAAATAGTGCAGAAACTAAATCTTCATTTTTATATAAAAAAAATTCATTGCTAATATTATAAAATAAATAAAAACCAAGTGTAGACTGTCAAATGACAAAGTGTAATCATTGGGGTACCTACTTTTCTTCTTGTGTATTGTCATATCTCATAAAATTAAAACAAATTACCATATTATATTATGTAAGCCAATGCATATTAATATATATTATTATAAAAAAATTTTAAAAATAGGTACGTGGGTCCACTTTACGGTGGTACCATTATGATAGATTTATAAGTCATAACAGGGCTATTGATCTCCAAAGTCTTTTTTGGCTAGTACCTCACGGGAAGGTGGTGCAATTATTTATACTTACGTTTTTTGTACATCAAAAAGTGTACGGTCGCTCCGGGAATCGTGTAATCATAACCGTATCGGTCCGGTTCGTTGAAGATATTAGTCTGGTAGGCCTCGGCTCCCTGCTGCTGTCCGCCATAGCCTGTCGACTGCCACCTTGATTGTCCACCATACGCCGGACTTCGCCCAAAATTTCCGCCGCCGAATCTCGCATCACCGCCATACCCGCGCTGTTGGCCCACACTGCCGCCAAACCCTGGCTGCTGGTGATGGTTTCCCATCGCACCAGCCCCGGGGTGCATGTTGTCACCGTTATATGGATATGCAAGGACGTGACCGCATGCGACCATCATGCACAGCAAAACCTACGACGTGAACCCATATTACTGAGAGATAATTGGTAGGATAAATGAAATGGCAAGCAATGTGAACCGTCTAACGGCGGTTAGCTATGGATATTATTAGATGGATACATTATACCTATATATATATATATTGAGGTGTAAATATTACAGCGACAGAGTTAGAGTCTTTCGAACATTTCAAAAATTAAATTTTAAATTTGTATTCAAAGTGTTTCTTGACTGGTTGTAGCTGCAGAACTAGATTAGTTATTATATTAGAAAGTATGCATGTGAGGCCGTTTAGATATTAAGACTCTTTACGCTTAATTGTGTTTGGCAGATATTTGTTGTACCCACTCTGAAGGCACTACGCATAAATCAATGACTGAGATATCTGCATTTGATAATTTATGTGGAGGAACACTTGAATAATATGATTAATTATGTTTTCCAAAATAGCACGTACCTACTACTTATAGCCGAACAGCTTTGATCATATCGTGTAATATCATATACTTTTATGGTTTTGTTAAATCTCCTGTTTTGAATTTTAAACCCAATAATATCGTAGATTTCTATAACGCAACATTTATTTTTCCTTAATATACTGCATTAATAGTAATAATTGTTATTATACCTTATTGGTGTTATTAGTCTATGAAATTATCTTTTTGGATATTTATTCCACATATCACGTTTAGAACTTATTACTGAATATTTTTACCTAAATAATTTCTAACCCACTGATAAGTGATAACTGATAAGTGCATAGAGCTTTCGGACTTTGAAAATAAGTAAGAATTAGTATGTCGTGAAGTAGTGAAGCTAATGTTGTTGTTTTGTTCAAACTTAATTTGGAAATAATTTTCCGGTCTATAGGAAAAATAATGATATTATCGAATGCTTATTTCTCTCTTAGTTATTTTTAAGAATAATATCTACTAGCGATAACTTAATATTTGGTGTTCAAATGTACACAAAACAATTTTAACAGTAAAAATAAATTTCTATAAAATATATTTATGAAATATATAGAAGTATATAATACTATTTTGTTGTATATAATCAATATTTTAATATGACCAAGTGATTTTTTTCCCAAACAATAGAAAAAATAAATTAAATGGCATATACGAGTATAATATCTTGCATGGAAAGAAAACACCATATAAAAATACAATACATTAATATTCTTAACGTTCAAGTAAAGTTTATATCACAATATATATAATAATGAAAAGACACTTTCAATAGCAAATTAAAGGAAAACAAAAAGTATGATTCGGATTCTTTGTTGATCCAAAAATACCCACGAGATATCCAAAAAAATATATACATCATGTTCATAATAGACTGGCAATAAACTCTGTGAAATATATTTTTTTTTTTATTATAAACCTAAAAAATTGTTATGTTAACTTGTTTGTTCACGTTTTAGGGTTCGGTTCGTTGACGATGAAAAATATAATGAAAATGTATGAGCTATAAAAATTAATAATATTATACGCGTTAAAAAATCTAACCGATAAATACCTCAACGACATAGTACATTAGTATGAAAATAATATACTCCTATAAATTATCCAAACGAGAAACAAACTTTTGGTCTTACCGAACAGCGTACAGCGGTGATCATTTTGTCTTCTTCGGCGGACGAACTGAGCAAATCGACTACTACGATGTATATCGAACGGTTGCGAACTTAGGTCTCGTTAAAGACTATGCGAGTTTATATAGGTACACAGATAAAGACGATATTTCCGAAAACCGTTGACCTTGGCCATCAACCAGGTCGTGCACGTCAAGTAGTGCCTTCCTCGCGTCTCCTCATACGTCGGATAATCGGATGGACGGACAATAATAAATACGTCTAATAGCTTACTCTCGGTATTTAATTATTGTTATTATTACTAATATGATTGTTATTATTATCAAGCGCGCCGCAATGCACCACACAATTATATTTGTCAAAAGCGCACACTCCGCCGACGCCGCCGTCACCTTGGTCCGCCACCTTCGATATCCGTTGTCGTGACTCGTCAGACCGCCATTTGCGAATCAGGCGCCTTTTATGACGTATAATAGCGTTCACTGGTCTTAAACGATAACTAGGAAAACCCACCGCCTCAAGTCGGTTTTTGCCAGGAAGCGTTCCGCGGTATAATAGCCGGCGTAGGTACCCCCGAAATTAGGTTTAAAAATAAAAATAATAATGATGAGTTGTGTGTGTGGGGTGGCCGGAGGCGGCTGCTATTATTCGAAATCGTTGAACTCCAAAGATTATCCCGCAGAGACATGTACGGAGTTCAGTACTCCCAGAATCAGTATACGTACACGTAATATGTGGTTATCACTGTGGCACTACGGCTATTATTAAGACAATTATTATTGTTCACCGCGAGCTCACGCATTCCGAATTCCGAAGCATCTCGTGGTTTGATCTGAAACTACTGGAAAACTATCTACACATACCGCTTATTACGACATTTTTTTGGGGATATTTTCTATCCGCTGGTCCTGCGTAAAACCTTTTTGAATATTTTTTTTTTACCGCTCGTGAAACGAGTTTTTTGACAAAAAATTAAAACACAAGCCGAACACGCGCTTAACAGCCCCATCGGATATTTTATCAAGAAAATTCGACATTTCCATACTGCCGACGAAAACTTTTCACGAAAATCGCCCGCACGGTAATACCGTGTCGATGGCAAGGCTGCCAGCGCGGCGTCTCGTGCTTACGCCGCCAAACGTCGAACGCGCCGCAACGGCAGGCACGAGAGCGTTCAGTATACCCGGAAAAGCGTGCGGTGCGGTCCCTTCCGAAAATTACGGTGTCGGTCTTCGGTCGGACCGTTTGTCGAGACACGGTACATTTGTTTACGTACTTCTTTACGTCCGACGAAATTTGTTCGTAAATGATCTTAGGATTTTAATTTCATCAAAATTGTTTCTATAATAAAAAAAAATATTTAAAAAAGCACACATACCTTGTAAGTATATCTAAATTCGAATTTATGTTCTGTTATTTTCCCTCAACAAACCGTGTGTTAGTTATTCAGTAATTGATAGTTTCCAATGCGTATCTGCTATATATTTATGCGTAGTCGTATATATACATTATTGCGTGTTTATAATCAATTCATTATCATAACAGATTTCCTACGCCAATAAAATCGTTACTATTTTTAAGTTGTATATTTTCGTTCCTTAGTTTTCAAATTCCGTAACAAAGTCGTAACTATAATATTGAGTAGAAATTAACTACGAAGTCATTTTTCTTCATCATTTTATTATTATTATCTTTATTCAGCTGCTAAAGTAGAAAATAACAAATAACAATAATTAGTCTTGGACACATTCCCAATGCATAAAAGTCAACATTTTATCATAATCGTTTATTTGTTAAATCCTCCTTAAATAGCTCATAAAGAATATAATTTGGTTTAACATAGTAAAAAGTACTTTCACTTGATTTACAATTATCTTATAATGATCTGTTCTTAATATATACAAAAGAAAAGGAAATAACATGTTCTCAAGGCTGTTTTAATACCTATTATTAATTTGATGGTTTTGAGAGACAAACATTTGAATAATGAGATGATATTTAATAGTTTAGCTCTATTTTTAAATACGTGTCAGTCATTAATGTTAAACAAAATATTAAATTATTTTTTAAACGTGATAATTGTTTACACTTTTTACATTTGAAAGGATTTATTAATTAATTAGCTACAAAAATGCCTTGATCATATTAATCATACAATACTATATTTAGATTTTATAAAAATAATCCATAAGTAGGTCCGCATTATTAAAAAAAATACCTAGGAATACATATGCCAACATACATAGTTTAAAATTAAAATAATTGTTTTGTTGGTAGCTATTTCAGATTTTAATCAAGATTTATATTATGAAAATATCCCTATCAACTCATTTCTCATACTATTTATCATAGGTACTTTGGCAGTTCATAAATACTAAAAAATAAAAATGTTTTAACAATTCATTTTTAAACAATATATTAAGATGGTAGGTATATATTATAATATACTATTATACAAATGTATACTTTTTTTTGTTACATTTAATAATTACAATCCATATTCCATAGTAGTATAGTAAAATAAAGATTTCATGGTTAAGTGACGGGAGTACTCAGTACCTAACACAATTGGAAAGGCTGCACTCATTATGTACCACCCGACAAAAATAAATATTTAAATACATATTGTGCTACACAAGTATGTTATGAAAAATGTACTTATATACCTATAAAAACTACAACTGCCGTTAAATTTCTGAATTTCTAGCTTTTACCGTTTGGACTTGGTTATTATTCTAGGATATACAAAACAATTCGGTAAAATATCGTATTCTTAGAATGAGCAATTCATTATGCAGATAGTTCAAAATGTTTAAAAAACATTTTTATTTTATTTTGCCACTATTTAATACATATAAAGATCAATCTTTATTTATTTATTTTTTAAATTATAAATTGAATTGTAAAAATTAATATGAATAAAATCTAAGCATAATATGAAATAACAATGTATTACTATTTATTAATACAACAACAAATATATTATTTATTAGTGCATGTGTGTTATAGACACTGTGATGTAGGGTATTGCATGACAATTTTCGATCGATATTTACATCGGTTTGTAATACAATTTTTTAATAGTCACAACTTACTAGACCCGTGTCCACCTGTCAAAGAAAGATATTATGGTACTGCTTGTCGTATACGAATTTCATTTGCTAGTATTACTTCCTTATACGAAAAAAATGTGAATTAAAAATGTTGAGAGTGCCCTTTATTTTGTAGTCTCTAGACAAAAGAAATAACCAAACACATTACTTCTATAAAACACAATTATTATAAGATGTAGTCTTACTACGAAAATTATTTCTAAAAAAATATCAATAAACAGTATGCAAAACTATATGAAATAAAATATATTTGAATTTTTTCGATGTACAAAATTAATATCTCTATTATTTCGAGCGTTTGATATTTATGTTATTATAATATCACTACGGTCGAATAATAGTGAACATTTCAAAATTTGGACACTTTGTACTTGTAAACATATAAAGAATAAAGTACCTAACGACACCTGTTGTCATGACAAATTATTTAAAAATGTTGTTAAGTATTAAGTGTCATACAATTTCAACTAAATCGAGACCAAAACTCATCGAATATAGTTTTCATTACATTATTATATATTATATTCAACGTACTTGATGTAAATTATAATGATTTGTGTATATTGTAAACATTTTTTATAGACATTGTACTTAATAACATGTTTAGCATTATTTGTCATGATTTAATATTTGTACCTATATATAATAATTGTATATATATTGATGTATATTAAATTATTAGGTGCCAAATAATGTTCAGATTTCTTTTTAATTCTTAATATTTTTAATATAACATGTCAAGATGGGTTTGTATTACACTGTGGACGCCGCTTACAAGACTCACGGATATAAGGTTCAGTCGCTAATTAGACTCAAAATCGTCTGAAACGGTCAGGACGTATCCAAATACATTATAAAAAATTCGGTTATACGACTCAACACTCCGTTTATAAGACTCAAATTTCGTAAAAAAAATGGTAAAAAATAAACATTTTTGGTTAAAATTTAGAAATAAATTAGTTTTTTGCCTAATTATATGTGTATGTAGGTAAATACAACAAATTTTATCGCATTTCAATTTTTCCAATATATTTCCGGAATATTAGTTTATAACTCAAAACAAACCAAAATTATAATTTTTTAATAAATAATAAGTAGCAGGTACATTATACAAATATATTTTATAATTTTTTATTAATGTATGTAATCATTTTAATATTTATTTTAATAAAACAGAATTTTTTTAATTTATTCAATAATAAGTATGTAATATATAATATGTATTAGAGTATTAAAATTAAAGCAAAATATGTAGTAAAATAAAATTCATAAATATATAATTTAGTTTTTTTTCCCACTTCGCCTATAAGAGGCGTCCACTGTATACACCATATAGATAAGGTTTCGGTACTATGTACATTTAAATGTATATAATTGTACAAAATGTCCGCGTCCTACAATGAACATTTTTACTCGGCCCTACAAAGTGTCCGCTTTTTGCAATATTAATTTTTACCCGGCCGTACAAAGTGTCTATGTTTTGTATTTAAAACAATGGACCGCACAAAGTGACCGTTTACCGTTTGTGTGCGATGAAAACACCAATATACCTACCCTAATTTCTTTTGTTTATGATACCTATGTTTGAGGATTTTAGTTTGAGCTCTGTGTAAAATACTTTATACTAGTTATAGCCTATAAATAATAATAATAAAATGTAAAAACAAATATACACAAAAAATACGAAAACACTTTTATCCTTTTTTTAAATAGAATATTGCTTTAATTCAAAAAAAAAAAAAAATGTCGTGAGAATAATAAATTACAATTAATTTAACATCTCATTATCTCTCTCTCTCTCTCTCTCTCTATATATCTTTATATATTATATTGTACATATCAAATAAACAGTTACGACTTCATGGTCCATTAGTTTTTTTTTTCAATTTCCACTAAATTATTTTTTAAATTACATTGCATTATTTTTTTTCTAAGATTATCGAAATATTTCAATAATATTTTTTGCATCTGGTCCCAATACAGCATCCAAAAAGTAATTGCTTAGTTCCTCCTCTACAATATGCTTGTGAAATGAAATCATTATGCGTTGATACATGATGTATTTAGTTTCATGGGTTAGGTATAATAGTGGAAGTTCTTTTGCCATTAGAAAACCATATGTAATTCTGGTATGTCCAATAAGTTTATTTGGAATTGTTTTTTCTTTTGAAGTCGGGATCTTATCATTCATGTATTGTGTTTTTGATTTTCCTTAGTTTAAATTAATTTTTTCCCTCAAGTGTTCGCCATTTAACTTTGTTTTCAATATTATTCAAGTATAAGATATATATAATATATATTTAGATTGGTGGTAAATCAAAAAAAAATAATTTTTATAAAATATTCTATGAGAGAGTTTGTTGATTATAGAAACACAAAAGAATCCGAATATCTCAGATTAATATTGAATAATCTTCAAATTGTTTATTTTAATAATTTTGTATTTTTTTGCAATAAAATAAAAACTGAATAAATACCAAATAGTGTTTTTTATAATGTCGTATTCACCAGTAAATATAATTTGAAGAATAATTCTATTTTACTATTTAAATTAGTATTTGTAAACAATTTTTCATTCCAAATTTCTAATTGTATAACTTAATAATATAATAGGTGTATGTAATAGTAAACCATGACATTTGAATATTAGTTTAATAATTTCACACAAATTAAATAACATGTTATTTATAACTAAACATTTTATAACATCGAATGATTTGTTCATTTATGATAACTCATTACGAAGAGCTACAAAATAATCTTGAAAAAAACATTTGCAGATCACTGAATAACACCAAGGTGTATTTTCTTAGACAATATTATAACACATTTTATCATTATCTGTCAATAGGTTAGGTATGATACGGTCGTCGAACGCCTAATTTATTTATTGCCAGTCGGCTGTCGCCACCGTTGTCGCAGTGTCGAGTGTTTCGAAGATTACAACAGTTGTGTTGTGTGTATACGATATTAAAGTTTGTGTACGAATATTAATAATATATCTAATCGATACAGAGGCCGATCGTCGTTTTAGCCGCTTGTTCTTGCCGTTGACTCGTTCTCTTACGACTTAAGGTTTTCTTTGCGCGTCAAATCAAGAAATAAATTGTTTTAAAAATCTCTGTGCGATTCCTTCCGGCTGTCGTCAATGGTGAGTTTTTAGTGATTTCCACCGCCGTATTGTCTGCATTTACACGGGTCGCAGTCGAGTCCGCGGGGCGCCATGACGGGACGGCAACGCCGCAAAGCCCGCGACCAATAGCGGGCGTCAGATTTGTTGACAGTCCGATGTTGCCACGTTCCAGCCGAAGCCGCCGTCGCCTAGTGCAATGGCCGCCGCCGAAATCGCAACCAAGATCGCGGTAAATCTCACAGAAAATCTCACGGCCAATATCACGGCAAATTTCACCGCCAATATAACAGGCAACGATACCTTGCTACATGACCAACAAAGCTCCGACCTGTACAAGGTGCCAGCCCTATTGGTTGTCGTTCTATCCGTGCTCTATGGTTCAATATCAGTGATCGCTGTGGCCGGAAACGGGTTGGTGATATGGGCCATCGTCACCAGCAAGCGGATGCGGTCGGTCACCAATCACTACTTGGCAAACTTGGCGTTCGCCGACATACTAATCGCACTCTTCGCCATACCATTTGAAGTAAGTGCAATCCTACATAAACACTAAACCCAATTCCTATACATGTCATCGTTATACTCCCGTTGGACCATCCCGCATGTTTCTGATGGTTAGGTCAAATATTTTACAACCATTATCTCACTTTAAACAATCATGCGCCGTAAATTAATTTATTCAGCTTAACCCATGAGTGCTCATATCATGCAATTACACAATTTATATCATAATTCATAAGCCATGAATATTGAATATTCTTACCACGTAGGTATGAATCCAACTAGCTATCAGATAGAAAACAACAATGAAAATAACACATAAATAAAAAATACAAATGATTATATTACAAATCACAACTACCTACAATATTGGATTTAATTCAAAATTAGTTTAAATTAATTTAAAAGAAATTTTACCATAATCTATAATATAGTTTTGAAGTTATTCGTGTAAATTGTATTGTGTTTAATCCCAAAGAAGGTCATTTTCCCCATTTCATAAAATTATCAAATATTCAGCAAACGATTATCAGTTCTGTAAGTATTGTTGTGTAAACATACACGATACACCCACTTCAACGACAACACTACTTTTCTAAATAGATACACAATAAACCACAAAATACGAAAAAAACAAAATTGAATTTTGAGAATTAAATGTCCCACAAAAGAATATTCTTCAAGTTTCTTTATAAAACAACATAATATTATGATACATAATTATAAATCTTTGTAATAAGATAACAAATAAATAAATAAATAAATAAATATAAATAATAAAAATTTAAATTAAAAAAATAAATTAAAATAATTAAAATATATTAAAATATTATTATAATATATTTTATTTATATTATAATATTAATTTATTAATATAAATCTTTATATACGATTTTACAGTTGATCCCTGTACTTATAATGTTAAGTGTACCAATCTAAGGACTTGTAGTTATTTTGTTGGTACACATTTTATTAGATTTAAATAATTAGTTTTTATTAATAAATTAGATATTAATTTCCTCAGTGAAAGCAGATTATTAATTTTTTTGAAGAAACTATTATTTTTTGAATTTGAATTTTTTTTGTTAATTTAATCTATGAATATCAAAACTTATTTTTAGTTTCTTATATAGAGAATTTTTTCTACACATTTGATATACTTACATGTATTTAATGTTGAACTAATAGGTATACTTTCATATTTGTTACTCTGTTAAAATGTCTGGTAAGAAGAGTATATAATATAAGGTTAGCAAAAAGTGTGTGTAAAAAGTATAGACGGAGCATAATATAACCACGAGATATAATCCCTTCCTTAACTATACTTTTCTTGACTAAACTCGAAATGGTTTTGTACATTTTTTTCATGAAAATATTCTCTTACTCTTAATATGAAATAAATACAATTTGATTACCATTGAAACTTAAAAATTTAAAACTTAGAAAAATATTATGTACCATTGAGTATTTTTTAAAATGCTTAGATGAATAAAACCCTACTTAAAACCACTCATATTTACTTCAAAAAGGAAATACATGATACTAAAATGTTAGTAATAAAATCTAAATATTTTATACATTTTTAATTTATAATTTACGTACAAGATTTTGTCTATGTTAATTTTACCGAATCTCAAATACACGGAAAATAAAATAAATTGTTTTAATGCAAGATGGTTAATAATAAAAAGTTACTAACAACATAAGTTATAAAAATACACAGTTTTCACAAAAAAATATTATAATGTTATTCTAGATTAAAGAAAAATATTATCATAGTATTTGAGCAAAATAGTTATTTAACATGCACAGTCAGGTGCTATAAAACCCAAAGTAAAAATACTTATTTAAGTGTAGGTATTCATAATACACTGTCATATTCAAATTTTGAATTCAATTTAGTTTTAAAAATATTTACTGTGAAATAAAAAATAATGTACGTTTCGTTGAATACAGTTGTAGGTTATGTACATTACTGTAATGCACAAGTCAATTATTAGAAATATTTTAAATGTACATCCCAAAATTGTTTTTTTTTTGTTGTAACTTATTTTTTTTTAAGTTTATTTATTTAAGAATAATAACCTAAAATAATTCAAAAATTCAAAAACCATTTTTATTCTATACAACGCATCCGATTTCACGAGGGCACTATTGTAATATGGACAAAATAAACTTTAGTGGTTCAACTCACAGTAATTTAATATAATATAATAATCATTTCCAATTCTCAATATTATAAAATGGAAAATATTAAATATGACTATTTACGTTAATAACATTTCATTACAATGTTGAACTTCGTAATTTCGGATTTTAATCGATTCCATTCAAATTGAAAACGGAATAGGAAATTTCTAAGGACAGAGCTAATGTCTAAAATGAAGGCTATAATACTTTTTTTTTTTTGAAATGTATAAAATAAATGAAAAGTAAATATAAATAAATGCATTCACCACGTAAATAATAATATTGAAATTATCATTTAATGAAAAAAAAAACGATACGGATTAGGAGGTCTCCAATAAAGCTAGGTACTTTATTCATTTGATATTACATTTTACTTTTATTGTACTATAATTAGTGAAAAGGTGGGAAATTTGGGACCTCTTCTAAATTGAATTAGGAAAGACTTATTAGAGACTGCTACAGTAGATTACTACAACTTTTAGGTGGGTATGTCATTTAAACAATAGCTGAACTCTGTATTTAGGTTCAGACATTCGGTGGTACTGGATATTTTAACAATAAACGTTTTAGATTTTTTGACTCTTGCCTTAATAGTTTCAAAAATGAATCGATTGATCTTGTTACGTGGATAAGTAATATTTTAGAAAATAAGTAGAATTTATCATTCCTACTATTATAACCAATATTTTTCTGAATAATTACCGCTCTGCCTCCGATCCTCCTTTGTGATATTTCAAGTCTATTGATTTCAATTTAGGTTTTTATTTTTCGAGAAAACGTTAATTTTATAGTTGTAGCTGTATATATCTATTTTTAAATGCTGCGAAAGAAGCAGATTATATTTTACCTAACAACTGATTTTTAATTTAATCAACTATATTATATAATATTTTTCGAAGGGCGTATTTTTAACTTGTTTCGTGATCGAATACAATTTGTGCGTCTATAAGAGGCGTTTTTCTACGTTTTAGTCTTGGAGTTTAGACCCAGAACTTTTAATTATTTTGACTTTTATACATTCAAAAAAAAAAATGTAAGATTATATGGTAATCCCGTCGAAGCAAACTTGATATTAAAACGGAAATCCGTGTTGAAGGAACTTTTTTCAGGAAACAGCGTATATTATAGAGATTACAACAAAATAGATTTTTTTCTCATAGAATTTAAATTAGATTAAAAGAAAAAACAAAGGTCTATGAAGTAAAAATCGTTATAAAATATTAAATTCAGACAATGCTTCTATTAAGTACTAGTTAGCTTTGATAATAATAATATATCTGCCATATATTTATACCAGACTTATGATACTGCATTTGTAATGGTATTTGTAGAGCATATTAAACAAAACCGTATACGATTTTATACTATAATTGTAATTAACGAATGGTGATGATGATAAATTCGTATTGTTATTGATATGACAAAGGTACTGGGTATATTAATGCTGCATATTGATGATAGTGTTTGTCGCTTGTCAGTGTAAATAAATGAATATGCCAATACATAATATATTGTATAAATGGTGAGTTTATTTAAGTCTTGCTACAATAATAAAACGACGGATATAGTATAGGATATTCAACTATTTTATAATCTCTTAATTCAAATCTAATTCAATTTGTTTTAGTGAAAAATTAATGCTGAACTGCCAAAACAATATTATGTTAGGATACCTATACCATTATACTAAGCCCGGACTATAAATCCAATGAAATCAAAGAATTGAGAAACATAAGATGATGATTGATCGTTTAAGTCTAATGACTTAAAAATAATTTATCATAATTTTTATTAGTTTTTTTAAAAATAATATGACAACCAACTTAAATTGTAACAAAAAATATATATATATTTACCTATATAGATAATATGTTCAGTATTCACATAAATGTGTGTTTGTATTATTATTTTAGTAGGTTCATTAGTACAAACACTGAATTGCGTATAGGAACACAATAATAGTAAAACAAAGTTTCATACCATTTCACATTACACTTTTTTTTATTATTTAAGTCAATTATTTTTAAGTTTTAATTATACTAAAGATTACAGGAAAATTTTGAATTTTTGAAATACAAATTCATTATTACATTTATAATACCTATGTTATCAGCACACTTAAATAATTTGCACTACAGGTAGAGGTACCTATACTCAATTTTCTGTATCTTCTATATATTTATCAAAATATATATATAGGTATATAATTAAATAAATCAATATACACATACTTAACATAATATGTACCTTTCATGTTGCTTATTTATATAAACAGAAAAAAAAATGATTTTGGAGAAAAACTTAATACTTAAAGAATTAAACAAATAGAAGTCTGACAATTGTAATTATCATAAAGATAAATAAATAAATATTCATCATGCTGTCTATCTAGTCTGAAAAAATAACTGTAACCTTAGTTTTTTGTTGTTATCATTAAAATTTAATTTACTTTAAAGTAGTGTTGTAAGTATTTAATGTAATGTAATCAGAAATGTTTTTTTTAATTCTCAACTCTGATTTCAATATTATTAAATTACGGGAATCGTTGTACTAAATCTAGAAATATTTAGTTATATTATTAAGTTATTTGAAGAGAAAAATATGAGTAGAAAGTAGTCGTTCATGTTGAAATAAAATACGATGAGTATTGTTCAAAACGTAGGTAGGCCTATGTTAAATAGTCATTGCAACACCCTGGATCAAATAATATCATGTAGGTATTCCTACGAAGTATAATGTATATAATTTAGTACATCAAGTTGATGTTTTACTCGCGTGTACGATACTTGCAAAAAAACAAATTATAGGTATCTAGAACATTGGGTAATACGGTAA